GAGGGCTAAGTGACACAACCCACGATCCGGTACTTCAGCCGGCCGAGAAGAGCAGAGCTACGGCACAACGGCTATCCTCCTGCAGCTCCCGGGGCTACGAGTGGGATGTCATCACCTTCTCCTCCGTCCTGCCGTGCATCATCCCTGACCGGGATGGAGCCGCGGTGGGACAGACCGTGGGAGAACCGGCGACCCGTTCCAGCGTGACGCTGTCTACGCCAGCCGGCATCACCACTGCTGACAGCACAAGGCATCGTGATTCATGAGGAGCGGGCAGACCTGGGAATCTTCCGCTCTGTTTTCAAAAAGCAGCACGTTTTCCATTTGTCTTCATCCGGTCAGACCCGGTCAATCCGCTCTATTAGCACGGGATGGTCCAACACCTCCCTGCGGAAGCCCATTAATCAAAGAATGACTCCTGCCTTGACACCCCACGTCTCTACTCCTCGGAGAGGCAAGGAGCTTCACACTTTTCCCAGCCTTTAAAAGAAACAGACTGGGCATCCGTTCATCGGGAGAAGCCGTTTCTGGAGCGATGGCGAGAAGCACTGCTCTGCAGAGACAGCCCTATTGAGTCAACTTCTCTAGTTTTAATTATTGCCCGTTTCCTGGGCTGTTTAATGAGAAAGTGCGTGGCAGTTAGGGCACCTCAGACCGGCCTAAGGCTTTCCACGGCAATTCCAAGCCGACGACAGCAAGCGCTGAGCAGTCTTAGGTGGAGTGCCTGGAAAAGGTGTGGGAGCGGTAGGGAAGAAGAGATGCTCACTGGAGTTTCCAGGCCACGCGGATTAACTTTGGAATAATTCAGAGGTTAATAAATTGCTGGATCCTACCCAGACCACAATGATTTCACTGGATAAGGTGTGTAAACTGAATGGGCAATGAAAACTTGCATAAACCATCTTTCCTTTCAGTTAAAGGATAAAATCCCACAGAGCCAATTCTAACCCAGGCCTTGTCTTAAGCTCAGTAATGTGTTCCTGGAAAAAAAACAGGTAAACACACAAATGCTCACGCTGGAACAGCAAGTCCCACAAGACAACAACACGACGGAAGAGGACACAGCACTCCAGAAACTCGGTCCCTCAAGCACAGAAGCCAAATCCATATCCTGTGCCATTTCCAGTGACACTGTGGGAGCAAGAGGCATCAAGGTAAGAGAAAACTGACGGGCAGTAGGAAAGCCAAGACGCGTCTCTCACGTTCCAGACCATAAAACTGGAGCATAAATCATGCATGAAGCGTATGAAGCGACCGGCACCCTTCGAGTAGTACAGTTTTCACGCTGCCAAAAGCAGTTGTGTGTCAAAAATAACGCTGCACCGGGGCTAAGCATTCTACTGCGGACTCGGGCGTAACCGTTTGCACCGTGTAGGCTTCCGCAGGGATTAAGTAAGGCAAGATAACATGGAGTTGGCTAAGTCTGGGGGGAAGGCTGCTGAGCGCTGCCAAGGAAATCGAAGCGAGGGCAGGGAAGAGCTGGGGGCAGAGGCTTCTGCTCAGCCGTGCCGTGAGCAGGCAGGGAGCAGCGGCACGCACTCCAGTTGCTAGGTAGCTTAGAGTTACAGCTATGCCTCCTTTGCCTGTGCAAACCTATCCCGCAGCACTGTATTTACAGAAGGCGGCCTTTGCTTCCCATTCCTTTGAGTGATATAAAAATCCTGAGAGCTCTTCCTTGGGGAGCTCAGCAACAGCCGCCCCTGGGTTGCTGCCGTCGTCCCTGAAACGATTCCGTGTTTCTGAGCGGCGGGGAAGCGGGCAGCTTGAGCCGGCACTTCTCCCCGTACCCGCTGCCGGCTCCGGTCTGGCGTTGAAGGGTAGCGTCTCCCACTTTGGCATCACTAATTATGGAGATGGGAGCTCGGTGTCAGCTCTGTAAAACTGGGCTAGTCCCAGGGACAACAGGATTGCCAGTTTGGGAGGGAAAATCTAACAGATCTTACCGGTCCAACGTCTGCAAGCAGCAGAGAAAATTGCATTTTGCATCTAAAAAGGAAGAAAAATAAACAAACAGCTTCTCTAAGGGAAGAAAGAATCGGAATTATGCACTTCCCCAGGAATACAAAGGATTGCAGCCTTCCAGTACCTGAAGGGGGCCTGCAAGGGTGCTGGGAGAGCACTTTTTACAAGAGCCTGTAGTGACAGGACAAGGGGTAACGGGTACAAATTGAAATCACGGAGGTTTAGATTAGATATCAGGAAGAAATTCTTCCTGGAGAGGGGGGGGAGGCACTGGGACAGGTTGCCCAGAGAAGCTGTGGATGCCCCATCCCTGGAAGTGTCCAAGGCCAGGCTGGATGAGGCTTGGAGCAAGCTGGTCTAGTGGAAGGTGTCCCTGCCCATGGCAGGGGGGTTGGAACTAGATGATCTTTAAGGTCCCTTCCCACCCAAACCATTCTGTGATTCTATGATTTAACAGTGGTATTTTGGGGAAATGGAGATACTAGTCAAGAGTGTATAGTCTATACTAGTAACTCCGTGTTACTGCAGGTTGGGAGGAGGGAGTACCAAGCAGTCCATCACTCAAACACAGGAAGGTAGCCTTTGAACATTGCTTTAGTTCGAGTCCGTCAACGAGCCTAAGAAAACACAGCACGGCGCCGCCGTTAAGCGCGCTCCGTGTGAACGAGCCAACTTCCAACACCAGCAAACCCGCCAAGACACAGCCCATCTTCACCCCCAAACTAAAAACCCACAGAGCAGCTACGAATGAGTCAACGTTCGAGTCAAGGCTTTCCCGGGGGCTGACGTCCCCAGGAGTCCCAAGCGGAGATCAGGCACTGGTGTACGTTACCTGACCTCCCAAAAAAAGGCCACCAATTATCCTCTTGTCCTGGCAGCCGAAACCTGTCATTCCAGAGGTACAAGTCACAGGCATGCAAACACAGGCAGGAGAGATTGTTCAAATAAAACTCTCGTTACAGCGGCAATTAACAGGCTCGTTACTCAGAGCAATTTAGAGCAAGGCTAAAGAGCGAGGAGCTTTACCAGTCTGACGCTTGTTTTGGGCAGCGCTTGCCTTCCTAACAGTGATCAGCTGCCCCCAGCAGATGTTTTGTAGGTAAGAGCTCGGTGTTTGTCTCTCCTACCCCAAGGCAGACACATGGAAGGCGTGGGCGAGCGGAGCATCTATTTTCAACAGCAACATCACAACAACTCGATGACAGACCATCTGATTCCAAGTTCAGAAAGAACTGGGAGTCTGTGTAAAGCACATCGATAAAATTGGAGTCTTAACAGGTACAGCAGATTAGAAAGTGCATTTATGGCAGGATGGGAATAGGCCTACAAGGGTTGAGAAGACACAGCAAGGTCTGAAAAATCGCTACAAGCCCAGGCACAATGACATTTAAAATCTGTGTTAACGTGCAATTTCCAAAGGCCACAAAGCTTCCAAAAATGTTTTGTATGATACCAACAACCACGTGCTATTGACTCCCGCGAACAAAACCGGACAGACAAAAGCTGGGAGTCAGGAACATCTCAGCAATTGGAACAAGCCCCGTTGGCTCATAAACACCTCATTACAACCCACTCCCTGCCAGACAACGGGGACGTATGGCAGCGACTTGGGTCAGCGGAGCTGGCGCGGATGCAAGCTCCAAGGGGAGCGGGAAGAGGTCAAATTCTTCCATGGGACATTTTGACAGATGCCGGTTTTTCCTCTTGGTTCCAAACCTATCTCGCCCTTCCCACAGAAGGCTCTGCCGGAGCGTTCCCCACCCCCGGGAAGGAGAAGCATTAGTCAGCCTCCCCAGAGCAGGCACTGGATGTAACGCGCACGAGCGGCGACTCCAGCCGGGCAATCTGCGTTTGTCTCCTCGGGGGGCTCGGCGGCAGTGACTAACCGGGCTGCACGGCTGGAGCCAAAGAGCTGCAGAATGTCACTGAGCAAACGAGTTAAAACAGGAACAAGCTCCGGGGAGGAGATGCATGGAAGGACCAGGCGCTGCATCCGCTGATGCTCCCACGCCAGGTTTGCGTGTCCATCCGGATACAGAGTGCCCGACTTCCAGCCTTCGGCCAGCTCGCACCAGTGCGCTTCTCTGCCGTTAAAATCCAGGGCTCGACAAACATTATTGCTGTGACTTCAGGCCCAGCTACCCCAAACCAGCCACTTCTCAGCCACTGGGAAGTCTCTACTAACCCTGCCACCCCTCCAAAAGCCAGCGTGTTAGCTAGACGCATGCCTTCAACCCTTCTCCCTGCCCCACCGCAATCATTTCAGGGTGAGAAATTGCTCCCGAGCTGCTGCAGCTGCCAATTCTTGGAGATATGGAAGGTATATAGTTTCAAATAAAAGAAACCAGCTTTTAGAACTTCAGAACAATGAAAGGCAGGGCGGCTGCCCGAGATGCGGAAACTAAAAGCTTTTTTTCCTTCAGAACAAGAGCAGAATGGAGTAATTGTGGTTTCCAGGGAGATGGGGAACTTGAGGGATCACAGCTCAATCTACAGTTAAATGGATTGGAAACAACTCCCTGCCAGCTGCAGAAAAAACATGGATAAGAACACACAGGAAAATCCAGAGAGGGCATTTTCCCGGCACTGTGCACATCTCCCCACGTTGAAGGGATGAGGCTCTGACATTATTCAGATGATCCAGGTTATCTACTCATGAGGGACAAGTTCTTCCTGTCCTTATACAGGAAGAACTATTCCTTGTTCCTTCCGAGCCCTTTCCTTATACACCTCCCATCAGAGCTCCCTTCACAGCAAACACTGACAGGTATTTCAGTTTTCTCCTTTTGAGACAGAAACCTGCCAATTCTCTCTCACACTCCTGAAGCGCAGTTACAAGCAGATAAGGTATGAAAAAAAACCCTAAACCATCTTAAAACACTCTTTGCAAGCCAGGCAGGCCTTTGCCTTTCCGCCAAGACGTTCCACGGGTGCCTAAAGACAAAAGTTCGTGCTCCAACGCGTCGCCAAAGTTTGCGCTTCTCCACGTAAAAGGCGGATCGCGCGACTTGCGAAGGATTCTCCGAAACGAGCAGTACCTTTGTGAGTGCTGTAGAGGGCTGCAAATGTCACCACGAAGAAGGTGGTGGAATATTTTCCAGCGTTAACCAGATGAAAGGCCCGTTTGTTATCACGGTAACGGCGCAGGCACTGGATGAATCGCAACCAAGCAGGGATGCACTGGACAACTGCTCTCACTCCGTAGGAGTAGCTGTAACAAATCTGATTATCTGCAAGAAAACAAGGTTCAGGGACAAAAGAGTTAAGAAGTTTAAGAAGTCCTATCGTCTTCCTTTCTGTAAGAATGACATCACTCTCACAGGAGAGCAATTCCCCCTCCCTGTCTCACACTTGGGCACACACCCCCCCCCCCCACACCACCCCCACACCCTTGGGCACACCCCCCCCCCCCTACAACTCATCACCACAAAGTATCCAGAATCCCTTTACTCCATCTCGGAGGTATTCAGGTGACAGGATATCAGTAACGCAGCCAGACACGCCATCAGCTAACTCCTTCACTGCTGCCAGGATAATTAACATGCAAAGAGATTAGAAATAATCTTTTTAAATTTATTTTGTGCCGCTGGCAGCGCTGTGAATAATCAAATTAAGGATGGAATTACAAAAGGCCTTCGACACTGAATTTTTTGTGCGGAAATGGGAGAGCGTTTCCACACTCCGCAGGACAGCTCAACAGGGCTATTTTGCCCAAGATGCCCTTGACCCATTTTTCTTGTATATTGTAATAGGAAAAAATATATTTCAGTATGTGTCTGGGGGTTTGGCTTGTTTGTTTTTTGGGGTTTTTTTTTGTGGTATTTTGGGGTTTTGTTGCTGCTGTTTGTTTGTTGTTTGGTTTTTAAAAGCCTCAACAACCGGGGTGAGAGGTAACTGCACCAACATGACTTTGTGTCACACCCCTGATGTTTGAAATCCTTCTTTTTATTGAGGAAATGACCTGGAAAACCCCAGCTCTGCCCACAACCCCCATATTCTCACACCATCTCGCTCAGCACATCTAAACCAAACGCCCCACTGACTAACAAACATTTGTTTCTTATTCAGGCTAAGGGAGACAAGTCATTAGCTGATATTTATCCCAAAGCACTGCGCTATCATTCCATTGTTTGGATGGGAAGAGGAGAAGCTGTTATCCACTCCGTTGCTTTGCTTTATTTTTATTTTTAATGAACATTTAGTTACTTGCAACACTGTCTTAAAGGGAAGAGAAAGATCAGAGGGAGCGGAAGAGCAAAGCGAACACTGATGCTTATTGACGCGCGCTGCAAATTCTTTCAGCAAGTGTCAAAGCCATCAGCCAAGACGATTTGCCAGCAGCTGCTGCTTCGAATGGAAAGATGACAGCCCCGACCCAGGAGGAGACAGGTACGATTTTGCCACTGGGAAGGCCAAAGACAAAATTCAGAGCACGGGCTAGGAAGGAGAGAAGAGGCAGAGCACGCACAACCCCACTCGGCGTCACAGCATCAACTCTAATCCAATACGGGGTGGCACTAACAAGCTCTGAGGATGTTTTTCCAGCCCCTCTTGCTTTAGGGTTCTGTGGTGGAGCCTGTAAGAAACAGACTACAGCCCAGAACAGTGTGGTTAACAAGCTCAGGCAACTCATTTTCATACTGAGCAAAAGGAACGGGCTAAAAGCAGATAAACCACTACGAAATAAGACAACAATGCCAGCAAAATGGATTTCTCTTTCCAATCAAGAAGTACTGTGTCTAAATTTTTGGATGAATATACGCATCAGGCCAAATGACTGGATTAGGAAACGAACACAGATGTGAAATTCCATTTCTCTGGATGGAAGTAAGAAAGGGCAGAATCTCTTTAATGCTGTGTTTACAAGAAAAGCCAGTTATTTAATTTCCTGTCATCCCTCTTCAAAACAGCTGATTAAGAAGTTGCCTTGCTCGGTGTTTTGCAGCTCTTTCTAACTGCATTCACACGAGCTGCCAGCATGACTCTACCTGTATTTGCCAGAAGCCCAGCGTTGTCCTCCCACTGGACCTCGAAGCTGTAGAAGCAGATCATGTATTCCAGATCCATGAGTATCACGACCAAGCTGTTGAGCTGATCAGCCAGCCAGAAATCTGCGAAGCCTACCTTGTGGAAGGGAGCAGTGAACACTCGAAACTGTCAGGAAGAGAAAAATAAATAAAAGGGAGTAATCCGTGACATAGTGTCAAAGACATCTAAGCGCAGTGGCAGGGCAACGCGGCGCTGAACAAATATGGAAATAACAGGAACGTTTGAAGATTTGTTGCTAACTCCTGCTGATAAAAGAGATAACTGTCTCCTCGCTTGTACTACAAAGAACAGTCCTGCTTTCCTCCTCTGTGCAACTATTCAGGTCCCCCACACACTTTATTTTTTTTTTACTGGCAGAAAAGCCCCGTCTCCCCCGACCAAGCTCTTTCCCAGAAACTCCCCGTCTCCCTATAAGAGCTCGACGCGGCTCCGTTTCTCCTGGTGCTCCTCATTCTGATCGGTGCTTTCTTTCAGGTATTCACATCACATCTAGTGACGTCTTCCACACCGCCCTTCTCCCTCACACTCCGTGTCGGTGAGATTGTAGACCCTCAGCATGGCCGTTAGGCTGATCCTGGCTTCGCTGATTTAACAAATTGGTCATTCTTGGGTGTCAGAAGTTGTAAGAGTGACCATCATGCATCTCCCCAAGCCCTCTAGCAGGGAAAGAGGATATCCTATTGTCTGCCAATTAGGCTCCCCCTCAATCCCAGTCCCCTTTTCCTCTAAGCATTAGCAGCAGTTTTGCTCCTTTCAAACCAGACAGTTTTCACGGTCCATTACCTTTGATTACAAGGGCCTCTGCCCAGTTAGTTATAGTTACTAACAGCCAATTTCTCAAAGAGACAGCACCAGCACCATCCCATAGTTCAGAGATTTATGAACCTTTAAATTAATGAAAGCACAGGCTAACACTGATCTTTCATAGTGCTCTCCTTATAAACCTAAAGGAAACGCAGCCACAGAAACCTGGGAAGGGATGACACATTCCCATCAGCTTGTAATGCCAATTTAAGGCTCCGGTCCTCAATTTCAAAGCCAAATAGGGGATTAAGGCTTAGTGGCATAAAGCAGACAGGGACCTTGACCCAGAAGGCACTGTGCTCACTTACTAGGATGGCACCTATTCCAACGGCCTAGGGACGTCTATCCTCGAAGCAGTCCAGTTGCAGAGCAGCTTCTGCAGAGGTCAGAGAAGCCACACCATCCTTTTCCTTCCCAAAAGGTCCTTCCTTCCCAAAAGGTCCTTCCTCCATTCTACCAACACTCCCTGATACCAGCTGTAGCTGTTTCATCACAGACCCATTTTTCTTCCCCAGTACCAAAGACCAAGAAAACAAATGAAATGGGAAAACAGCTTCACAGATAGATCTCCACGAAGAAAGATATTAATAAAATCCATGTTGTTATTTAATTTAGGAAGAGACACTCAAGCACTGCCGGATGACAGCGTAAAACTTTTAAGAGTGTAGAAAAGAGTAAAAGCTTTCCACCTTTAGCTTACAGCAGGTGAGGGGTCAGCGGATATGTCTAGGATCTAGCCAAGGCACTGGAATCTCAGTCAACTATCCTCAAAATCCTGAGCTGTCCTTTGAACCCTCCTAATCCCTTGCGTCAGGCACGGGAGCTACAGCCCAGGTAGCACTGGGGCTGCAGCCGAGGGCGCTGGGTGCTGGCAGGTACCGCTGGCAACTCCCAGCACCATTCTCCAGCGAAGACGGACCCCAGGAAGAGTCATAAAATGCCAAAAAGCTGGAGCTGAGCCTCAGTTCCAAAGTAATCGGTTGCAATTATTTATCAGCGGTTCCACAGTCCAAGCACAGACTGGCATTACTGCAGTTTTAATAAGTGCTGAGACAGTAGATATTTGAGCCGGAGCTGAACACTTCCTAGATCTTCCCCTCTCACAGACAGGTTCCCTGCAGTTGTTTTGCCATTCGGGTGCCCTGCAGAGAGCGTGGGCACGCAGACACCGTGCCGCTCCCTGTGCTCGGATCCGATTCCTCCCGGCCAGCCGCTCTCCTCAGCCTACACAAGCGCATTCGTGGGCTTCTCATCCGGCAGCCAAGGGGCAGAGGGCACTCGTCTAAGCACGCAGGCGAGAAAGAAGAGCCTGGCATGGGAATTAAACTTACTATCAGCTAAATAACTTCTTTTCACTCAGTGGAAGATCAATTCAGGTGCAACATCCCTCAGGGATGATCAGGATGCCCCATGCCTGGAAGTGACCAAGGCCAGGCTGGATGAGGCTTGGAGCAACCTGGTCTAGTGGAAGGTGTCCCTGCCCATGGCAGGGGGGTTGGAACTCGATGATCTTTAAGGTCCCTTCCAAACCAAACCGTTCTGTGATTCTGTGATTCTAAAACAGATCCCGCTCACGGGTACCGACAAGCAGTTGGTGATGATCACGTGTGGATGCAGCAAACCCCCTAGCTCCATCAGAAAACGCTACAACACACTCTGGTGTGCTCCTGGTTTGGTTGTACAAAAATTGAAGGTGCCAGGAATGCTCTGCTACACCCAACACGTCAGAGTCCATCGGGGCTGGAAACGAAACCTGTCGAGTGTGTGAAGCCAAACGCTCCCCAAACCAAACCTGTGTGAGCAGCGCAGCTCTAAGAGCCGTGCTACTTAAACCTCCTTTCACACAGAGAGCTGCTGGCGACTGCACGGAGAAATAAACACACCCAGGTGGCCAATTACATACAATAAAAATTAGAAAAAGCCTAACAGCTACTCTTTATGTGGTTTGCCTGGCCTCCTTTTTTTCCCCTTCCCCCTGTCGCATAACGCACAGCCACACGTACTGTGTCATTTGCCACCATTAAGGTGATGTTGCATTTTGATGGAGCTTTTTTTTTCCCCCTTCCCAGGAGACCTTGGGATGAATTCAGACACTTGAAGATACGTCTGAACTGCAGGCTGCGGCGCAGTCTACAGACAGAGCAGGTACTGGAAACTAAGGGCTCTGCGAAGACTGAGGATCTCACCCTGTTAAGGGCATTAAGGTAAATTAGCACAGATATTGCTCACATGGTTAGAGCACTTCCAGTGCTTCCCCTAGCACCGAGGGATGGCAGGAAGGCTAATGAGGCTTGGGACTAAAGGTACATTGATGAGAGAAGGCACAAATAGGAAGAAACTGAAATAGTAGTAAGCTAGCAGATCAAATAATTTTGTTAAGGGCACCGAGGTTAACTGTGTGTGTATACCTGCACGCACACGCTTGAAGCACGAGCCTAGGTGCCATGTTCCAGATAAAGCTCCTATTGTTTTAACTGGCATTAAAACGATTCTACAAATAACAGCAGCCAGCCAAACCCTCTTCCGCCCGAAGCTCTCCGAGCGGTTCCAGCAAGAAGGTGGTACTGAGGGAACCGACTCGATTAAAGTCAGTTTAAAAGGGCAGGCAGGGTGGGGATGAACGCGTGAGACAGCCGTTTGGGAAGAAACTGGTGAACCACCCGTCAACTCCGAAAAGGATTCTTTTGGAGTTCCCACCTACAGCTGGAACGCCGAAGTAGCAGGCATGTTTATATTGAATTTACAAGATTTATCTGACCAGGAAAAGAGAAGCTGGGTCTAAAATGAATAGTTTAATACCACAAAAAGATTTGCTGAAAAAAAAAACCCAGCCATAAACATAATTTTGTAAGCAGTAACCTTTGCAAGGGTTCCCTCTCCATCAATGTTGGCACTCACCCAGTTTGGGTGGAGGAGCACCCCACGCAGCCCTGTAACCCTCATCAAACTGCTTCCCTACATCCAGGAACAAACAAGCAAGGATATCCAAGTGTTTCTGTATGTGCAAAGCTACGTACGCAGCTGGCTATAGAAGATTAACAGGCAGCTACCTGCACTACAAAGATAATGATAGACTGGTACAGACAAGCAGAAGCTGCTTCTGTAAACCCATGTTCAACCAGCATTTGCAGCCAGTACCTTATCAGGTCTCCCTATGAATACTCAGTGGGAGATGCATCCCTCTTTCCTGAAGATTAGTGACGCTTGTATATACGTAACTGCTACCACACTGATACAGCATTTAAAAAAATAATAATATTTAAATCAGGTTTGAGACTCACCAACAGTTTGAGCAGCCAAAAACGGGACTTGTAATACAAGGTTTTGGTAGGGTTGATGAGAAAAAGCAGCATGAAGCCGTACAAGATGAGCGGATTCACCTGCATAGGGATGTAGGTGAATTTGCCATATATACATGCCAGCAGGCTCAGGCACCACAAAACCCCCAAGAAACCAGCAATCTACAGGAAAAAAAAACACATGGATACCTTATGAAAATACAGCTCTGAAACTTGCAATGAATTCTCATTATAAGAAAAGGGAGAGCAGTGCTCAGTCCCGTAATCTAATCTGACTTCAGCAACTTCCCCTCCTAATTGTATTAGAACGCCTTGCCAGGAAACGGGGCAGGATTTATCCTCCCGATACGCTGCAGAGCTCCACCGCTCCGACAATCTATTTCACCTCAAAGAGATGTTGATGGGACAAGTTGCTGCGGGGATTGAGTTCGAAGATGAGGACGTGATTCACTCCAGCCTGTCTCCAGCCATATGTGTTGATACCCAGGAGAAAGAGGAATTCTATCAGGAGAAAGCCACCTCGATAGATTCTCACCAGCGGCCACACATTTGGTCCATCTATAAAAGCCACACCTGGCAAAGACAAAAACAGAACAAGTTTAGGGGTAGCACAAGACGTGTCGCAAATTACAGCCGCACTCTGCTCCTTTAGGTTGGTTTTCAGATGTATTCTCCTAGGAGTATTGTGGGGAAAATAAATGTATTCTCCTAGGAGCGTTCCAGGGAAAATTCCCTCTCGAGCTGGTGCAGTCGGGTCATTAGCAGCATCTCAAGTCCCTCGTCTCACACTACAGGCACGAGGGACAGCACCAGCATGAATCCTGCCCATACGCACTTAAATGTTGGGGTTCAACGGAGATGAAACCCCAAGAGACAGATACACAAATACTTCAGCTCCCCACCAAACCCAAGAAGCACCATTTGCAGCACTTAAAACAACGTCAAACCGCGCTGAACTCAAGACAACTGTAATGTCATACATATTCATCACCCGCAATAGAATTTCCAGCCGCACCCAAACAGAAAACCCAACTGGAAAGCCCGTTGCTTCTTCTGTTCAGTCTTTAGGGTTTGGGAAACCAATTTGCTGAATTTCAAACGAGGAGCAGCCTTACAGAGCAGCAGCTTTCTCTAGCACAAGCCCCTTTGCAAAATACCGTGCCCCGGCTGCCCGATCCGGCAACAAAAAGGCACAAAAATTGAATCCTCAATTTCCGTTTCACGAGGTGTTTTCTCGTCCACGTGTTTTTTAAGAGGGGGAAAAAGAACAGAACTGATACTGAGAATTCATTCCCACAAAGCCTCATGTCTAAATTGCAGCCCCAAGTTTTTCCAACTTCTCTTCAGGGACAGCACATCTGTCAGAAGTTCCGTGAGTTCAGCGTCTGCGTCTTACGTCCCATGAAATCATGGAGGGATATTGTGTGAGGAACAATGCCTCAGAACTGTAGCTTTGAATTTAAAACTTCAAGAATATTGGATTCAGGTGAAAGAGTAAGATTTTGGACAGAAGCGATGGACACCCTGAAGAAGCTGAAAGAAATGAGTCTTAAATCTGGAGCTGCAAAAGTTGGGATTCATCTGAAATGCCTGTGGACAAAACCAACTGAGGTGCTTCCAGAAGGTACATGGCACTACAACTCACACCCTAAGAAGGGAGAGTTAGATTGGATATCAGGAAGAAGTTCTTCCTGGAGAGGGTGAGGAGGCACTGGAACAGGTTGCCCAGAGAAGCTGTGGATGCCCCATCCCTGGGAGTGTCCAAGGCCAGGCTGGATGAGGCCTGGAGCAACCTGGTCTGGTGGAAGGTGTCCCTGCCCATGGCAGGGGGTGGGACTGGGGGGGCTTTTAGGTCCCTTCCCACCCTAACCAGACTGCCTTTCAGCCAGTGTGGGCTCTGAACACCATGCTCAGAGAGCATGACATCCCTGATGACAATCCCAATGGCATCGCAGCCTAATTCCCAAACAAGAGAGTTTTGCTGTGGGAAGAGTCTTGAGATTTCACTTGAATTCTCAGAAGCATAGACTCACGCAACGGTTTGGGTTGGAAGGGACCTTAAAGATCATCTAGTTCCAACCCCCCTGCCATGGGCAGAGACACCTTCCACTAGACCAGGTTGCTCCAAGCCTCATCCAGCCTGGCCTTGGACACTCCCAGGGATGGGGCATCCACAGCTTCTCTGGGCAACCTGTCCCAGTGCCTCCCCACCCTCTCCGGGAAGAACTTCTTCCTGATATCCAATCTAAACCTCCCCACTTTCAATTTAAACCCGTTACCCCTTGTCCTGTCACTACAGGTCCTTGTAAAAAGTCCCCCCCAGCTTCCTTGTAGCCCCTTCAGGTACTGGAAGGCTGCAAGAAGGTTTTTGGTTAACAAGACATATGTCCGTTTAACCTCAATTACACACATTAGCCTGGCACCTAGGAAAGCTGGTACGGCCTCAAAATTTATACCCTTTGGGGTGACACTGTCCTGGGATCCACCTGTAGCAGTTGCAGCCTTTAATGGACCCCAAGTTACTCTCTATAAAATATTGCTTTTCTACAGAATAGAAAGCACAGAAGCAGTTTACTACTAAAAGTCGTGTTTTAACGCTGCTTCACAGATTCTACCTACACACACAATGCTGAAATCCTATCTTAGTCAATCAAATCCTAAAAACACTTTGGCAGAAGTAGCAGAGATTAGCAAAGCAATATCCAATTAAATTCAGACACTTTGCAGTTAGAATACAGTTTTTGCCCAATATCTGGAGTAACTTACAGATAGGAGATCATGTCTGGTGATACAAACGTGTGTTATTCACATCAGGTTAGTAGCATTTGCTGTAGAGATAGGGCCATTTCCTACAAATTCATTCTCACAACTGTGTCACTTTTTCATTCTTAACACTGAGAGGCAAAGTAAACACCGCGGGCTTCGATCGTATTTGCATCTCACACAAAGATCAGACATGGAAGTTACGTGGGGGGGAAGATACAATAAATAAAGAACAGCTTATACACTTTAATCGGACCCTTCGCAGAGACGGGTCAACCGTCTGCCTTCTACCACCGCAAGACCAAAAGGGAAGTGCTGCAAACAGCTCCTCAAACAGAGGAATTTTATCCCAAGAGATGACTGGATCCAATTACAGAAACATCTGATCAAAACCTCTTTTAAGTCAAACACACAGATGTAGGCTTTCCCCGGCGCAAGAGCTGGTACGTTGATTTAAGCCTTTCCCTTTGTACCGCTTCAGCAAGTTACAGCACTACTGAAATCACACACCGATTAGCAAAGCCGCTTGCGGTTAAGTGCTGGATCGGGATCTACAGCACTAACATGGCTTTCACCATAGTCAGAAACTCAGAAGGTGCAAAGCAGAACACAGCCAACGCCTGAGATACGCGATCATTTACTGCAGCTTTTAAAGGAGCTTGCCCAAATTTGCCAGCAAGAAGAAAAACAACCATTTAATACCATATATAAGCACCAGGCATTGAAATCCTAGAGACTTCTACATGAAAAAGCCCGGAGTGGCATGGTGCTGACGTGGTGCCTCATGTCTGGTCTCATCCTCTGTAGCGAGTCGGTACCAGGCAAAGCTTAAGTTCTACGAGCACCTCTCTCAAGGTGGGAGAGGGCTGTGCACTCACAGAACGGTAACAGGCATCTCTCTTCACACACAGAGGTTGCACATCCAGAAGAGCCCTCCAAGAATAAGGAGGAAGCCAGGAGAACAAAGCATAACATGTTCAACGTCCAAAATCCACGTATGTAACATGAGAAAACCTGCAGCCTGTTACTGAGCAGAACTAATAATTTGCAACAGCGTGATCCGACTCCAGCTGATTTAACCCAGAACCTCCTGACCATCCCAGTTCTGATCCAGGCCCTCGCTGAGCGCCGAGAACATACCCAAAGCAAGGGATGGCAACCAGCCGGGCCCGGCTGAGGGTACTCACCTGAAAGTATGACAGTGACGTTCAGTGCAATGAACAACCCGCAGAACAATCCCACCCTGAACGTAGTCCAGGCTGGTACAGGCTGTGAACAAAGCAATGGTGGAGTTAAGGTGGGATAAATGGGTTATCAGCAAAGTCAGATGAATTTGCAGAGTAAATTTAATATCGGGGCAAAAACGTTTTGATCTTTGGCTGCACTTGATGGGGTTTTGTTAAACTGAAAATGCTCATAACATTCTTCCCCATGTTGCTGCTGTGCTGACACAGAACTTGGGCATCTCAACGTCCTCTGAAAAATATCCCAGACCCCACCAACACTGAGCATAGATTATTATTACTACCAACACAAATTTCCTTTTGCTATTTATCTCATCCCTTCATTACCTTGTCTGCACGCATTAGGAACAGCAAGCTATTTCCAAACCTTCCGGAAGGAAAGCAGATTACGTGACCGTGCCCCCCTCGCAGTTGGCGGAGCACGCTCACATCCATTACTTTCACTACGTTGCTCAGATGTTGAATCGAATTTGGCACCTCAACAAGTTGGAGAAGGAGCTTCGCCACGTAACTCAATCCCTCACCTGAGCTGCTCCTAAGGGTGGAACACGCAAACGTTTCATAGCCTTCTGTCTGTCTCCATCTTCTAACTCGTTGGTCACCACTTCCTAAGGAGGTAAAGACACACGTCCCAGAGGTTTGTTCTAACGATAAGCACATGGTACTGCATTAAACCCAAAAATAACCGTTGACTTCCAAGTTACATTGCAGCCCCCGCCCAATAGTCTTCTGATATAGGGTAACGAAGATAGGAATGATCCAAGCCAACTCTGCACCAGCTTTTCAGGGTGCAAAGCCACCAGCTGAAGAGAACGTACCCAACTTTACGTAAGCGGTGCCAGAAACCCATGACATTTCAAAAATCAATCAATGGTTGTCTTGGTGGTGAATACAAGTTACAGAGAGGGCAAAATATTACAGGGATCTGTAGTGAGCAAGAAAACATTGTTTTCTAACGAAAAAATGCCCAGAGTAGCATCTTTACCTCTGTTTCGGAGATAAGCTGGTTGATCTTCTTGCAGGTGTAGAAGGGTGCCACCTCCACCTCGGCCACTCGCCATTCGGCCCCCCGTGCCGTCTCCAGGTTCTTGTCATGCTTCTTCAAGATCTTGCGGAAGCCGGTGAAGTTCAGGTTCTGCAGACAAAGGGAGAAAGAGTTACTGACTTTTATCCTCAGTCAGCTCCCGGGAAAGTTCAATGGTTGTATCTCCAGCCCTAGCAAGAAAGGAATAGTTAGGAAGAATAATTGAAATTATTGCATCTATTGCCAGGAAGTTTTTTGAGTTATTACTTTATTAGGAGTAATACATATTCCCTGCAAATAACAGAACAAATGTGGGACTGAAGGACATAAAAAGAGGAAATTTATTTGCAGGGAAGCTACCTAAACCTCGTATTCCCTGAAAAGCCAAAGCCCTGTCACTTGACGCCATCCCTCCTTGATGCAGGAAGCGACGACATTCCTGGTAAAACCTCCCTGAAGACAAATAACCTCTGGGCACGCTCAGGACTTGGAGGCTTAAAGTTATTTGAAGACATGCTCCTTCTGTCTGGGTACAGCTCACCGCACACGGCCCAGGTGCCACAGCTCCGCAACTGGCTGCTGGATTAGAAGCGGTTGTAATGAGCTCTCAGATGTATGAAGCTGCAGAAAGACTGATTTACCCCAACTCCCACAGTCATTGACTTAGAATCATAGAATCACAGAATCATAGAATCATAGAATGGTTTGGGTTGGAAGGGACCTTAAAGCCCATCCAGTCCCACCCCCTGCCATGGGCAGGGACACCTTCCACTAGACCAGGTTGCTCCAAGCCTCATCCAGCCTGGCCTTGGACACTTGCAGGGATGGGGCATTCACAGCTTCTCTGGGTAACCTGTCCCAGCACCTCCCAACCCTCTCCGGGAAGAATTTCTTCCTGATGTCCAATCTAAACCTCCCCACTTTCAATTTAACCCCGTTACCCCTTCTCCTGTCACTACAGGCCCTTGGGAAAAGTCCCCCCCAGCTTCCTTGTAGCCCCTTCAGGAACTGGGAGGTGCTATAAGGTCTCCAATAATGATCATCCTTCAGGGTGTTTTCCCTTCTGAAACCAAGCTACGGATTTCCAGTTTTCTTAAACTATACTCTGGTTTCAAATCAAGCTCTTCAGGTAAGTGCATTATGGAAAACTTCACACTGGTTTCAAATCGAGTTCTTGGAGTAAGTGCGTTACGGAAGGGAAATCCCTGTACAACAGAAAATGTGCGGAAGTTTTAAACGCTGCAGCTTCAATCCAGCCAAGTGCAGCCCCACCGCAGCATCCTTTTCCAGGGTACATTGAATGCTGTCTGCAAAACCAGTTTACGCTGGCAGACGTGGGAGATGTAACTCTATAAGCGCACTGAAACAGGAAATAAGGGGGGATTTCCAAGTTATATACGAGCCCTGACCCAACGTCTGCAACGCACAGTAACCCACAGAGGCAAAGCTCATCGCCCTGAAGGCAGTTGGGGTGACGAGGCGCATTTGAAATCCTGCATTTCATTGCCCAGAAAACACCGCTCGAAAGACTCAGTGTTGCGTTCAGGCAAAAGCAGGAACCCAGATAGACTGTTGTCATAGCCTGTCTTCTAAAAGACAGGCTCAGAAAGTAGCCTGGAAAGCAAAACAGAGAAAACAGCAAAATGCAATGCCCTGGGGAGAGGCGCCAACTACTCCCTGGAATTATCTTCGATCTAATTATGCTTAGGGTGATTTACTACCAGACCCCGACCATCTAGGTGGGGAAATGAGGCTACAGAGACAGGAGCAGGAAGCCGCAGCATTAACGAGCCGCATTATTGCAGACAAGAGACTTTAATTACTTTCTATTGGAAAAAACAGCGTTCCACCCCAGGGAGAGCAGATCACTACTGCAGGAATTATAAAGGAAAAATTGCAATAAAATGATGATTTTAGTTGGTGATTTTGCTGTGGCCTGAACTAATGTGACTTTATCCGCCACGTGTGCAATCATAGCCTCACTCCGGTGTGCTGCAGCCAGTCGGGGCACGGTTCCGCCAGGCACCCTACAACCGCTCTAGCAGCGTTTCACCCTCTGGATGGAAAGTATCCGCATCCCCGAAGCACAGGATGAAACCGCTGTGGGTTGCCGTGGTACTTCTGACGAGGCACAGGCAGCAACGGACCTGTGAGACGGGAGTCAATCGGCGTTTAGGCAGTCAGATGCTTTGCTGTTCATGATGCTTTGACTTGGCAAGGGGCTTTCTCCCAGCCCGACTTCCCTTTCTGCTGGATACTAACCGAATCATAGAATCATGGAATGGTTTGGGGGGGAAGGGACCTTAAAGATCATCCAGTTCCAACGCCCTGCCATGGGCAGGGACACCTTCCACTAGACCAGGTTGCTCCAAGCCTCATCCAGCCTGGCCTTGGACACTTCCAGGGATGGGGCATCCACAGCTTCTCTGGGCAACCTGTTCCAGTGCCTCCCCACCCTCTCCAGGAAGAATTTCTTCCTGATATCTAACCTAAACCCGTTACCCCTTGTCCTGTCATTACAGGCCCTTGTAAAAAGTCCCCCCAGCTTCCTTGTAGCCCCTTCAGGCACTGGAAGGTGCTATAAGGTCTCCCCGGAGCCTTCTCTTCTCCGGGCTGAACCCCCCCAACTCTCCATTGAAGTGAGTCAATGAATGTCATGCGTTGTCATGAAAAGTGGAAAAAACCCCAAAGAAACAGTGCAACTTATGCAATATTATAATGCAAAATCAGGCAGAGTCAAAGAGTGGACTCAAAATTCTTTGCTCACATACAGACATAGAATCATAGAATGGTTGGGATTGGAAGGGACCTTAAAGATCACCTAGTTCCAACCCCCCTGCCATGGGCAGGGACACCTTCCACTAGACCAGGTTGCTCAAAGCCACATCCAGCCTGGCCTTGATGCATATTAGGAAATGCAGCAGCAAGGCGACTGTCCAGCAGTTTAACAAGACTGATTCAGCCTCCATTAATCGCCTGGAGAATGTACTGTATTATATAAAGTGTAAGTAAATGCTATATACTTAATTTCCCAAGACTTGTTTGTTCTAAACCACAGCATTTCAAATTAATAGATTTATTTATATGTGTACACACTGTATAATGATATATCACTGTTAACAGTAAATTGATTTTATCAGAAGTTTAATCAATGGTAAGTTAAACAAGTAACAGCTGCCCTGGAGAGAGGTTATAGTTTCACTTGATGCTGGGTTTCTGCACCTCAGGAGTGAACACAGGCGACGTCTGCTCTTGCTTCAGTCCTAACAGACTGAGGAATTTGCTTCACGTGGATTTTCCTTTCTTAGTAACCCAACTCAAGACCTCAGCATTTCAAAGCTCGAGTTGGATATCTGCAATGCTGCTGTTCATCTTACCTCCTACACAAAGGCCTCAGCTGCGTCAGCTTCCCACCAGGTTATTGGTTTTCCTCTCCAAAACTCCCAAGAGCATGGATATTCCTAATTCTTACATTCAAGGCTCAAAAGCAATTAAGAGTAGCATTCTGGGATTCGGTTTTGTGTCTGTTTTAGTACTGCTATTCCTTGTCCTCAGCTTCAAGACCAATCCGAACTAATTTTTCCTCATTCTCTTTTGGAAGGTATGCTGTAGGAAGAAGCTCTGCTCCCTCTGGCAACGGTGAAACCTATCAAACCCTGATGGGTTGTACACCAGTATTTGGTACACATACGATGGACCTGGACTCGTGGCAGCAAAGAGCGAAACCACAAGTGTGCAAGATGCCTCTTCTTCACTGATGAACAGTAGGAGATGGTTTTCCAAAGGAATGACCTATGCTATCCCCTATTTAAATCCTCCAACAAGCCTCAGGAGTGACTTTTTGTAACCAAAAGTAAGAGCTTTAAGAAGTAATCACAGTAATACTCCTTCACTCCATTCCTGAAAAGCCACAGATACTCTGACTTTCCCAGGATTCTGAACTAGAAACTCTCTCTAATAGTTAAAGGGCTTTTTTGAAACTCAGAGTTTCCAGACAAGTGCTCAAAAGCCATAACTTCACTTTAGGAGAGGTAGAAGCACCCAACATTTTGGAAGAATTGAGTTTTGTTGATACTGCAGAGTGTTATTCCACCAATTCTTATGGTGAATTTGGCTTAGTAAAATTGTCCAGTACGACGCCAGTAAAGATCTAAATACAGATATAGTGAATTTAAGCTCAAACATTCTTATTTAACAAGCTAAAAACCCTCAAATTTAAAAGCATTTCAGTGTATTTCACACCAAAAGAGCTAGCCCAGCAAAAAAGATCTTAAGAGTTTCAGATTTTTTGGAACAAAATCAGCGTCTGCGATATTTACCATGTGCTTTCATGCCAGAAATCCAAGTATAACTAAAGATTTGTTTTTTCATACTTCAAGGGAAACGAGCCTGTATCCCACAGAAAGCCTGTATCCTTTTTTTTTAATGGATGCTTTAACAAGAAATTCTGCTATAGCAAGGTCACAGGCACTACCATGGTAACGCCAGGAGGAAACAGCACGTTAGCATTCCAAGTTTCATTAAAAATATTAGATAAAAGAGCTTCTTCCCCACCTTGCCAGCTCCAGCCCTGCACAGAACAACTCACTGCAGGAGGAGGAGGTCCTGATGTGACTGTTCTGGCCACGCCTGGGCCAAGGGTGCTGGGGTCAGCCAGCACAGAAAAGTTCCTTCTGCAGGTCAGCTTAGCATTTCTAGCTCAACAAAAAGCAAGAAGACGTACAGTGCTAGCTGCTAGACAACTGCCTTGTCTTCAAAAATGTTTAGGGACCCCAAAATCAAATAAAAAACTGGCTTGGATGGGGCAACTCTAGGATACACAGAGACCTTTACACACAGGGCTTAGTAAACCCACGCCTTTTTGCAGGTACCTGATAGTTCTGCAGTAAGATGAGGCTGAGGTAGAGCTCACTGAAGGCCAATTTCAGATCTTTGATATTCCGATGCTGGACACGCTCTTCGTGGGAGAGGTGGAAGACGGGCTTTCTGCGCCGCTGCAGCGTGGAAGCCCCGCTGGCTTCTTTCTGTGCATCCAAAGTCGACTGTAACTCCGTCCGAAGAGTAGTGAACCTGCGTTGAGCTTCTGCAAGCTTTTCTGTTGGCAAGGAAAGGGAAAATTCGGGTGAGAGGATAGCAGCTTATTTACCCAGCCCTTAAAAATCACCTTTTCTGCAAATACCGTGCCTGTAGGTAAAAAGCACTGCACTGAATAACCTACTGCAGGGCCTCACCCTACTGAATTCAACAACTCTGAGTATTTCTCTTTCATGAAGCTCCTTCTCATTAAAGGTTTTAACTCATTCTTATGTAAAACAGACACATTGTTCAAAAAAAAAAAAAGCTCTCATGTCAAAAAGGTCTTAATTAATGAAGTCCCAATTAGGGGCTGTCCCTTCAGCACAGACACAAACCTCTCAACTTCCATCCCAGATCTGATTCCTAGAGGATGCTCATTCTAGGACCACAGGAATACCTGTTACGGGTCATAGAATCATGGAATGGTTTGGGTTGGAAGGGACCTTAAAGCCCATCCAGTCCCACCACCTGCCATGGGCAGGGACACCTTCCACTAGACCCTAACCCTAGAATTGAACCTGGCCAGGGACAT